AATGCTGGGACCAGGGGTATATGAGTGGGGCTACATAAGCTACTTTTGCCGGATGGTGTACCACCAAAAATAATTGCCAGGATCAAGGCATACTGCCGGTCTACCACTGCGTGGGTTCTAGTCCACAACAACCTCTCAGAACGCTTAGCTATTCGATCTGGCGTTCGACAAGGCTGTTTCATGTTGCCCATCCTCTTAAACTACGCCATTGACCGGGTTCTCGGGAAGACCTGACAGGAAAATGACGGTATTGAGCTTGCACCTAGACACAGGTTGACTGATCTCGACTAATCCGATGATATCGCCTTACTAGCGTCAACCTTTGGCGATCTACAGGCTATGGCGTCACGGGTGAACGAGATCACTAAATTGGTCGGTTTGTCCATAAACGCTGGGAAGACCAAAGTGTTCTGATGCTACATCCCTGCCCAAGAGAAGGCACCCCTAGAAATTACTGACTGCCAACTTTAAGAGGTACACAGTTTCAAGAACCTCGGAGCGAGGTTGCTGCGGAATGGACAGAGTAAGGATTACATTGTCTCCCGAATTGACGCAGCTCGGCGAGTTTTCTCTAGCTTTCGAAAGTGCCTATGGAACCGACAAGAAATTTCTATTACCACAAAGCTCTGCATGTACCGTATGTCTGTGCGGTCTGCTCTTCTATACGGCTGCGAACGCTAGGCTATATGAGTGGCGGATGAATGGAAACTGGAGGTATATGACCACTACTGCTTGAGGGTCATCCTTCGAGTGAAGTACACCGACTTCGTCTCAAATGAGACTGTCCGCACTCGCTGCGACAACATCGCAAGGGTATCCCAGGCCATCCGAAAAAGACGAGCCAGGTGAATTGGACACGTTCCTCGTCGACAACCTCACGATCTCAGTGTTACTGCCACCGATCCGAAACCGTTGCCTAATTGGAAACTTCGATATGAGAGTCAGTTCAGAACCTGGCTCGACTCAGCCGTGTGGACATGGAAGTTGTTCTGGACCTTCGGTATTCGGTCTCCGGCAGTAGCGAAGAGAATGGATCGGACTGTCCACGTTTGCTGCCACAGATAGTCGCGTTTGGAGAAGTATCATCCGGGTCATCATCGAGGCCGGCTAGATCAGTCCTGATCGAAGCCGCAACAAGTACATCCTCAGCTTCCATACATCAGTGGCTTATGGCCGGTGTGATGTGAGAGCCTCTGTCAGTGTGTGTGTGTGTGTGTGTGTGTGTGTGGTTGTGTGTGTGTGTGTGTGTGT